GCTTTACTTCACCCAAACTTTAAACTTTTGCAAAAAATAATAATCCTTGCATTTGATGCAGCGCCTTATCATGTCGTTCAGATGTCTCCAAGCGCTTCAAACTAAATTGTAAAGTGGAGTGACTGTGTGCTTTGTGGGCGAAGATAGGGGGAGGGTGCAGAAAGATGGGATTTTTGGGGAGGGAGGGGAGAATTTGCGAAGGAGAGGGGAAAGAGAGGGACAGTGTGTATATTGCACTCATGCCCTTTTACAATATACGGCAATAATACTTCCATCCTGTTGGATTTTAAAACAATAATAATCCTTTCATTTGATATAGCACTTTTCACATCTTCTAGACATCTCAAAGCGCTTCACAGAATAGACTGTAAAGTGAATTGACTGCATATATTTGTGGGCAACGTGCAGAAAGAGGAAACATTTTCCTTTCACTTTGAGCCGTATTTGTCTGCCCAGATCCTCACGAAAACCCTAGATCTGGGGATGGGAGGTAATCACGCCTTTGCGAAGTCTCGAAGCGCTTCACAGAATATACTGTAAAGTGAATTAACTGTATATCTGTAGGCAAAACGCGGCAGCGAATTGCACACATCAGTGTCCTACAAACAGTCGTGGATTGAGTGACCAAATTATTATTTTTTTTTGAAGAGATTATTCCCACAGAAAAAAGTGATCCGCCAATCGACTAACAACCGGGTTCCTACTTACTGCTAGGTAAAGAGGCGTGTGGAATAAGGAAACGTGCCCAATGTTTCGCCCTGCCTGGGAATCGAACCTGGGTCCTCTCACTGGCGAGGCGAGTGCTCTTAACCACTATGCTGCGGGGCTCCACCACTACCAGTACATTCCACTACACGCTGGTCAAGAGATTCCACATCAGGTACCATGAGAAGGTACGAGAAGAATAAAAAGGGTCAAAATTAAAAGGTCGGCAGAAATGTACATCATTTAGCAATCGGTTACCTGCAGTTCAAGACGTTTACCAGACTTTCAATGCTTCTGAAGGTTTCGTTTGCAGTTGGACAAGAGGAAATGATGACCTGGGCTGAAAATCTTCTCCAGGATAAGAGGAGTTTGCGGAGAACACTGAAGAGCTGAAAAAAATTACATTTGTACAGTGCCTTTCACGTCTGGAGGATGTCCCAAGGCGCTGGACAGTTTGAGATCAGGAGGGTTGGAGGGCAGGGACGGTAACGGAAGGTGTGGTCAAAGAGGGCCTTGAGATGTTCCTTGAAGGAAGCGAGGGAAGGAGAGAGGCAAAGGGACTGTGGGATGGTGTTCCAACGGGTGGGGGCAGAGGCTGAAGGAAGGTCTTCAGGCGCAACCTGAAGATGCAGAAGGAGGGGGGGCGAGGCAAAGGGGTTGAGGGAGGGAGTTCTAAAGTTTCGGGGCGAAGTGGCTGAAGGCACGGCCGACAATGGTGGAGCGGAGGATTCGGGGGACCTGAAGGAGGTCGGACCCAGTAGAGAGGAGGCAGCGGGTACTGCTGTGGGGAGAGAGGTTAAGAGAGATGGGGGGGGGGTGCCAAGGAATGGAGGGATTTAAACACTAGAGTGAGGATCTTGAAGTCCATCCGCTCTGTGACAGGGAGCCAGCGGAGTTTGGCAAGGACCTGAGTAATCGGGGTACGAAGTTTGGTGCCGGTGAGAATGCAGACGGTGGAGTTTTGAATGAGCTGGATTTTGTGAATCGTGGAGGAGGGGAGAGCTGCGAGGAGGGGGGGTAGAATAGGACCTCGAAAGCGAGGACAAGGATTTTGATCTCCGAAATTCAGTGTAAATGAGATATTAACATCTGTGAAGGCGAGCGAAAACACAGGCCAGTGCACTCACAGTAGGTTCACACACGCACACATATGCAAGAAAATTGTGTAGCTTCTTTATTACATTCACATGAAGTCACAGGATTCAAAGTACGAAAGCTGTTTGGCTCAACATTATCATCAAAAAAGTTCACATAAAAATGCACGTACCATTCAAGTATCTCATTGTCTGAGGCGAGTTGTCAATATATTGTAAAAACAGGAGTACGAGATATTGCAATATCACAAAATTACAACTGACGTTTTTTTCCACTTGTATGAAATAATTTACTGTTAGCGCTATTTGTGTGTCACTGCGGTTTTCTCTTTCTTTGTGGTACACTCGGGCTTCTGTAATGTCTCCCTTTGTTGATGTTAGTCGAAATGCAAAAGTAAATAGTTTATAAAATGAAACTTTGACGGAGAGCTTGGGAGGGGAGGCGGAGTGAGAGAGAGCAGAAGAGGGTGAGTGAGCTTTATTCAGGTCTGGTTTGTAGCAAGAAAGCCGAGAAAGCGCATTCGATAATCATATGTTTTTAACCAGACACCAGCCCTGCAGTCACAATAAACCTTGCATTTGGTAAGGTGCCTTATTATAGTGTTGAGAATCCTCAAAAGAATTTATTGTAAAGTGAATTGACTGTGTATTTTTGTGGGCGAAACGCGGCAGCCAGTTGCGCACAGCAGCGTCCCCACAAGCAGTCGTGGTTTGACTGACCAAATTTTTTTAAAAAGGGATTATTGCACCTGGAAAAGGAATCTGCAGAAATCCACAAAGAAACGGGTTCCTACTTACTGCTGGGTAAACAGAGGCGCGTGGAGTAAGAAAACTTGCCTAAGGTTTCACCCTGCCCGGGAATCGAACCCGAGTCCTCTGGCTTGCGAGGCGAGTGCTCTAACCAATACGCTATGGGCTATTCCGACAATTTGCAGCCAGAGGAAAGGACAGACAAACCCATAAATCAAACCAAACCACCGTGAGGACCGCAGGCGTAATGAATCGCAAAAACAGCCGAGTTGTTTTTGAGAATTTTTAAAAACTGCTTATAAGGTTGCGAGGGTTGTGGGTGGAAAAAGAGAGGGGAAATACTGTAGGGAAACCGAGCGTGAATGTCCCCATTTAACAATGGTCTGGCGGTACTCTCCTACCTACACTGCACTCTGGTGGATAACATGTGAATCCTCTCTTACACAAAAAAAGGGCACAAGTACTGGAGATTTACACATTGATCCATCAGAGTTCAGTTGGGCTTTCTCGGAAGGATGCACTTTGCAAAGTCACTTTGAATGTCAGGAACAGGGCAATACTCACAGCAAACCGCAGACGAGTGAGACGTGCGTCCGCAACACTACTGGGCAGTGGCAATTGGCTGCCGCGTTTTGCCCACAGAAATATAGTCGGGAGGACGTCCCCAAGGAGTTGATACTCACATCAAAGACAGGCTTGCGAGAACACGACTGGCTACTCGATCCAATGCTCTCGAGCCATCCCTCCCCCTTTACACAAATGCTCGACTGAAATAGATCCCCTAATGCTGGACACACAGGCCCTGGGGGCACCTTCATTAGTCAGTGCCACTTAAAACATGTTAATCTTCAAAAATGGACAGTCAGAACCCGCTAAAATATTTTGGGAAGAATATATCTACGGGCAAATTATGCAACTCCCAGGTGGCAAATCCGATATATTTCTTTTTTTTAAAAAAAAAGGCTTAAGTAAATATTCATTTGGTTGTTAGCTGAAGGAAACGGATTAGAAGCAACTATTTTGACCAAAAATATTCAGAGATTTAATAAAGAGATTGCAATGATACCTAGCTTCCTGCTGGAGAGGCGTGCGCGTTGAGTGTATTATTTGTCCCGCAGCGAGTTTTGATATTATCTTTTGCTCCACAATCGCTTTTAGCCAGTTTGTCACGCTCGGCTGCCTCCAAATATTCTGCTCTCCAAACAGGCTGGGCTCCACAGGCCACCTCAATGCACTGGGATGAATGAGATGTTTAAGGCAGTTTAAGCCGTGTGAAATGCTCATGACCCCTCGCAATTTAGAACCACACAGAAGTGGCCCATTGAGCCCACGGTGTCCGTGCTGCCTCTTTCGAAAGAGCGACCCATTCATAGCTGTTTGGAGGAGCAATCCATTCAGTCGTATTTAACTGCCTACCCCCACCCCTGCAAATTATTCAATGATTCCCTTTTGAAGACATCTAGCCAGTTATCTGAAATATAATAAAAATAGTAATCCTTGCATTTGATATAGGGTCTTATCACAGAATATATAAGTGGATTGATGGCATTTTGTAGGCGAAAGGCGGCAACCAATCGTGCACCACAGTATCCCACAAATGGTCGTGGATTGAGTGACCAAATTATTATTCTTTGAAGGGTTTATTAGCTCTGGCTAATCGACTAGCAATGGGGTTCCAAATTGCTGCGAGGCAGACAGAGAGGCGGGTGGAGTGAGGAAACTTGCCTAAGGTTTTGCCCCCACTCTGCACTACGGGAGTCGAACCCGGGTCCTCTCGTCTGCGAGGCGGGGTGCACCGACGATTTTGGCTGCTAAACTTTCAGCGATACCAACAAAAATCGCCTTCATAGGTGAGCGTAACTAAACGTTTCCATGATCTCCTGTAAAGCAATTTTATCGTCAGGTTTCACCAATACATGTTCGACAACAATAGTGGTAAAGTACACCCTACATATATAATATACATCACCGTATATAAAATATTATACTGTACATCACCTCGTACCAACCAGGGAGAAAATGTTCTTGGGAGCGAAACAAATTAGCACATTAAAAAGTAGCCACAATTTCACAGCTAGAGCACTGGCTGCTTTTTAAGCAAGTTCAAAAGAGGTTTCCTTCATTATTCTGTATTAAGGCAAAGTTGTGCTAACCCGGCCTTTCGATGATGGGCCCTTATACCAACATATTATCCCTCCCTCCCTCCCTCCACTTAATACCGCATTTCTATCTCTAATAATAATAATAATCCTTGCATTTGACATAGCGCCTCATCATGTCGTTGAGACGTCTCAAAGCCCTTCACAGAATGTACTGTAAAATTAATTGAATGTGTATTATTTAATTGAATGTGTATTACTCATTTGTATGGGAAACGCACACAGTCAACTGCGCACAGCAGTGTCCCCACACAGATTTTTTTTGTAGGGATTATTGTTACTTTTGTAAAGCGATTCGCCAACTTAGGCGCCCCCCAAAAAAACACACATACGCACACAGGGTTTGCAAATTTGGGATTGCTTTGGAATGCAGCCAAAAGTCAGCAGACAAGACGGACGCCGTTATAAACCTGGCGTAATTTACAATAAAACGTATATTCCTATTAGGCACCTGGACGCATGGTTTAAAAAAAAATCAGATCCCCTTAACACGATTCCCCCTTCACCCCCCAATCATCACACGCTGAATTATACTCGAGCTTAGTATCCCCCACCCCCCATCGCCCCACCACCCGCATTGTAATTTTACGAAACAATGCAGCAGCAAAGAAGACACGTGGGTTGTGTTGAGGTTTACTCTAGTCTGGTGCAGTGTAGTGCAGGCCACCATTAATGGACCCAGTCTTTGGGAGTTCGTAGCACCTCCAGGATCTTGGCTTCCCTCGTGTTCTTGGCAGGATTTTTCATGTATTCCCACCTGCAGGGCAAAGCGCAGGTGGCAACGTGAGCAAACTGCACAACCCTCCCCCCACACCCCCGGCTCTCTCTCTCTCATCCCTTCAAATTAGCAGAGAATAACTTACATACACTCCACACCCCCCCACCACAACCGGACACATTTCAACGGTAACTTGCATTTATATAGCTCCCGGAGCGCAGGGTAGCGTCCCGGAGCGCTTGACCAGTGGTGGAGCCGGGTGGGGGCCGGGGGGTGTGGAGAGAGAGGGGGAGGTGACCGTAGGCACGGGCGATGAGGGAGGTCCTCAGGCACGACCTGAAGATGGGGAAGGATGGGGCAAGGTGGAGGGATGGAGGAAGAGTGTTCCAGAGTTTCGGGGGCGTAGTGGCTGAAAGCGCGGCCACCGATGGTGGAACGGAGGGCTCGAGGGCCAGAGCCAGTCGAGCGGGGGCAGCGGGTAGTAGGTTGAGAGGGTAAGAAAATTGGAGGGGTAGGGAGGTGCCAGGGCATGAAAGGATTTGAAGACGAGTAAGAGGATTGACATTCGCACAAATCTCTGTGGATGGGAGTTGGAGCCAAAGGCTCATCAATGTGACCCCTCCCACTCCCCTCTCTCCCCCACCCCCCACACACAATTCGAAAAATAGCAGGGTCTAGATTTTTGGATTTCCAGGAATCTCGTTCAATCCTCTCCCTATCCAGAAGTGGACTGCATCAGAGCGAAGACCCAGATTGGACAGGAATGTGGGTTGTGTTGCAAATAAGAGCCATTTGTTGAAACTGCTCAAAAGCCCTTCATGGGTCATCGCTGCCGAGTGCAGTGACTGCCTGTTTAGGAGGCCAAGTTGGATGGGAACGCGAGTCAGGAAGCTTTACACCAATGGTTGAATTTACAGGGAGGTTTTTCTTTTGGTCAGCCTTGGTGTCTGACACGTGCGGACACCCATCACCGCACTTAAGTGTATCTAAACCAGGCTGAGAATTCTATGTATCCCACCTACACATGGAAATCCCAGCGAGAGATTGTTGGAATGGAATCCGCACTCTCTCCCTGGAGAGACGCATCCTGCTTACCTAATTCCAGAGAGTATTAGTCGCAGGGTGGAAATAGCCCAGGCTTGGGGGACCCCAGAGGGGTAACTGCTGGAGTCCAACCAGCTAAAACCGCGTATCTTGCCATTGACGTCGCTGTCAGGTAAGCTTTCCCGTTGCTTATCCAGCTTGGACCACCCTACCCATTAGGGCTTTGGCTTGCGGGGTTAACAGGAGTTGAGTGGGAGGATGCCCTGCCCCCGGGGACTGAAGGTACACGGGAGGTAAAAGACGACTGGAACACGTAAAATGAGTGAGGCTACATGCAATATTCTATGGATATTGTACGTATTCTATGTGCATGTTTGCTTGTCTCAGATTCATGATTGAAGACTTCCACGAGAGAAAACACGATGAGACCCAGAGATTAACGCTCGTCTTGACCAGAAACCTCGTCAACAACTGAACCTTCATTGTTTCGTCTTCCCCTCGACATCCTGCGGGCCGGGCACACGTAGCATTACAACCTGGTCAGTTCCACTGTACCATGTACATGGATCCAAATCCTTAACCAACAACAAGGATCAGTCTAATATGCCTCCAGCCTCAACACTCGTCCGAACTACCTTACCTGGCCGTGAGCGGCAGAGACATCAGGATGCTCTCGATCCTGGATCCAGGAGTTGCCAGGCCAAACTTAGTCCCTCGGTCGTAAATCAGGTTGAATTCCACGTACCTGCAAGGGTTGAGACGCACGTCATTAGTGACGGCGGAGGCACCGTACGACAATCTTAAGTCCCTACGGCTCCCCTCATGCTGTAAAAACGCCAGCGCAGGAAAAACACAAGCTGTTGCTGCATTTCACACAACGCTCAACGGGAGTTGATGCACTGTGAGGAGCGGGCACTAAACAAGCCCCCGAGCCTTCTGAACACCTGCTCCACCATTTCTGTCCACTCACTTCGACCATTGGTACAGAAATCTAAACAAGTTAGGTTAGCGCTGAAATCTAAGATCCCCTTCACTTAGAGGTACCAAATCACCTCAACTGTATTAGACAACAACAACAAATTACATTTGTATAGTGCCGTCGGGAGGACTTCCCAAGGCTCTGGACAGTTGAGGATTTGGACCCGAGCGGGTGGGGGGGGGTAGGGGTGGAGGGCAGGGAAGGTAAGAACCCGGTTCCTACTTACTGCTGAGTAATGATAATCCTTGCATTTGATACAGCGCCTTATCACGTCTTCGAGGCGTCTCAAAGCGCTTTATACTGTAAAGCGAATTGATCGTGTCACTTGTGGACGAAACGCGGCAGCCAATTGCGCACAGCAGCGACCCACAAAACAGCCGTAGATCGAGTGCCCAGATTATTCATTTTGTTTTTTGAAGGGATTATGACCCCCGGAAATGCGATCCGTCCATCGACTAACAGCCGGGTTTCCTACTTACTGCTACTTACAAAGGCGCCGTGCAGTTAGGAAACTTGCCTGAGGTTTCGGGAACCGAGGCAGGCTTAGAGACACCTTTAGAGTTCTGCTTAACCCACCTGCCTCTTCGAAGCTGCTGCCACTCCTTTTCCTCCGGGGTAAAGGGGTCCTGCAGGTGTTTCTTCACAATGGGAATGTAACAGGGAACCACGGCTTTGGCACAGCTGCGTACAAAGCTGAGGAGCTCCTCTCTTGGGGAAGAGTCCAAGTCATCGAAAAAGATGCCGCCCACACCTCTCCGCTCCCCTCGGTGCTTGATCACAAAGTAATCGTCACACCTTTTTGGTTGTAAAAGAAGACAAAAAACAATATATAAGTTAAACGTTAATAATAAGAAGAATCCTTGCATTGAATATAGCACGTTATCACGTCGTCAACAAAGCGTTTCACAGGTTATACTGGAAAGGGAATTGACTGTACAGTTTGTAGGTTTTAAACGTGGCCGTCAATCACGCACGGCAGCGTCCCACAAACAGCGATTATTATCCCTGGGAAAAGTGATCCGCCAATCGACTAACAACCGGGTTCCTACGGACTGCTGGATAAACAAAGGTAGGTGGAGTAATGAAATTTGCCTAACGTTTCACCCTGCCTGGAGTCCTGTAGCTCAGTGGTTAGAGCACTTGCATCGCAAGCGAGAGACCTGGGTTCGATTCCCAGCAGGGAGAAACCTTGGGCAAGTTTCCTTACTCCGTCTTCTCAACGACGTGAAAAGCGCTTTGAGCGCTATGTCAAAGCTAAATGCAGGGATTATCCCCCAAAAAAACTCCTTCCACAAGCAAGGATCTCAGTCTGGCTTGACCCAACTTCAATCTCATTTCGTAGATATCTTTTCTCCCAGCAAAGAAAACTCCCTTCGAGCCGATTCATTCTTTGTTGTCACCCTCACAATCTCTAGTTTTTAATCTCAGCATCTGCGTCCACATAAACCACCACCCATTTGGGCACCGTTTTTGAACCCTGCAACAATTTGAGTTTCCCAGAAATGGTGAGTGTCTTTCTCCTTAGTCACGAGTCGTGGCATCAAACTCTGATCTGAATGTCCCGCCAACTCACTACACAATGACAAGTCGTTGACAAGAAACCAACCGTTCCTTCGTGTGTCCTCAGATAAGAGCTTCTCGGCCTTAGTGCCCGAGATCTACATTCGCACACTTACTGCAGCTGTAATCTCATGAAACCACGGAAAAGGTTTATTCCCTCAGCAGTGCCTTATCGACCAGTCTGGGTATGCAAAAGCTGGGGCTCAGCACATTAACCTCAACCTTGGACCCGAGCTGGGGGTTGGGATCAGGAGGGGTGGAAGGCAGGCAGGATAGGATGGTGACATTGCTGCATTTGCCACATGCGGAAATCCATCACCATGCTTAAGAGTACCCAGAGCTAACTGAGAGTTCCCTTCAACATGGAAGTTTCCTTTTGTCTGGAAATAGAAACTGCAACACACAGACCTGTCATTAAAACACGTCTCAAAGCGCCTTTTTTATTGCTGGCAAAACACAGCAGCCAATTGCACATGGCAGTGCCCCAATTATACTATTATTGTGTCTGTGCCGACTTCCTCAAGAGCAATCTTTTCAGTCCCACTTACCTACCCTTTCCCCCGTACCCCTGTCACAATAAGCTTGTGTGGTTAAAGAACAATGGGATCAGCAGGGCTTTTGAGTCATATAATAGTAATAATCCTTGCATTTGATATGGCGCATTATTGTGCCTTCGAGACGTCTCAAAGCGCTTTACAGAATATACTGTAAAGTGAATTGACTGTATTTTGGGATCCTGCTTGTGACGAGTCAATTTTACTGACAAACTATTTTCCATAGAACAAAAAAAAATCTTTCCTTCCTTCCACACACACACACCAAACCTATACAGGGACACACTAACAAAACCCACTGAATGGAGTAGAAACTAGCGTCTCGAGTATTAGAAACAAATTGTCCACGAAGAGTAGAATATCCCCAAGTTTCACCCTCCCCACCGTCCTCCCCGTCCTTATAGCTTCAAGCAGGACATCGAGCCGCACACTGACCACTTTTTAAAATCCGGGTAAAACTTTGGGTTGTGCTGGTCGCAGGCCTCCTTCAGGGTTTTGTGAAAGTGAACAGCATCAGCCTCATCCAGGTAGGTGGGGGTCAGGTCAGTACCACCACCAAACCACCAAACTTTCTTACCTACATGAAAGACAGAAGGACATAAGAATGTGCCAGGCCAAATAAGACCAAGGTCCATCCAGTTCACCTTCCACCACCAGGAGACGGGTGACTAAACTGGTCCCGTGAGCTCATCAGGTGCTTTGTTTTTGAGAACAACCAAAGTTTAGACACCCCCTTTTTTTTTTTTTTTCTTCCTCTATGCCACCTGCCCCCACCACCCCAGCCCCAAATAAATAAAATTATAATAATTTGGTCACTCAATCCACGACTGTTTGTGGGACACTGTTGGGTGCAATTGGCTGCCGCGTTTCGCCCACAAAATATATAGTCATTTCAGTTTACAGTATATTCTGAGAAGCACTTTGAGACATCGCGAAAACGTGATAAAGTGCTATATCAAATGCAAGGATTGTTATCATTAAGGTGGGGGAGGAAATAATAATAATAATCCTTGCATTTGATATAGCGCTTTTCACGTCTTCTCGACTTCTCAAAGCGCTTCACAGAATATGCTATAAAGTGAATTGACTGTATGTTTGTGTGGGAAATGTGGCAGCCAATTGTGCACAGCAGCGTCCCACAAACAGTCATGGATTGAGTGACCAAATTATTATTATTGATTTTTAGGGATTATTGTCCCCAGAAAATGATCCGCCAATCGACTAACAACCTGGGCGGAATGCAGCAGCCAATCGATAGTATGTCCCTGTATAAATTTGGTGTGTGTGTGTGGAAGAAATGAAATACACAAATCATTTTGAACTTTGTCTGTTAACATACCAAGGTCAGAGAACCTTTTAACTGACTGAGGATACTTGTTTTATTTAGAAGCAAATATCTGACTTACAATAATAATAATCCTTGCATTTGATATAGCGCCTTATCACATCTTTGGGATGTCTCATGGAGCTTCAAAGAATATACCGTAAAGTGAATTGACTGTACGTTTTTGTGGGCGAAACATGGCATTCAATTGCACACAGCAGTGTCCCACAAACAGTCGTGGATTGAGTAACCAAATTATTATTATTATTGATTTTTAGGGACTATTGTCCCCGGAAAACAATCCGCCAATCGACAAACAACTGGGCGGAACGAACAGCCAATCGAAAGGATTGCTCTTGAGGGAGCCCGGTACAGACACGATGGGCAAAATGGCCTTCTTCTATGGGCACTCAACCACAGTAGTGGTGGTCTCGCTACCCCTTGTGGTGCTTGCAGCTCTGTTGCATAAGCATATGGTCTGTATTTCTTGAGCTTAGAAGGTGACCTGATCGAGGTATTTAAAATAAAGGAATTCGACAGGGTAGCTACAAAGAAACTATTTCCTCTGGTGGGGGGTGGGGGAGGAAAAAGGTGAATTCAGAACTAGGGGGGCATCATCTTAAAATTATAGCCAGGCCATTTAGGAGTGAAATCAGGAAACACTTTTTTCATGCAATGGGTAGTGGAAATCTGGAACTCTCTCCCTCCCCCAAAAGGCTGTGGCTGCTGGATCTATTCACATTTTCTAGGATGAGGTGGATAGATGTTTGTTAGTTCGGGGTAATAAGGGATGTGGGGCAGTTGAGGTACAGATCAGCCATGATCTAATAGAGGGGTTGGATGGCCTTCTCCTGTTCCTACGTTCAGCTTCTGTGCCTTTGCTACCAAACCGAGTTACAGACACAATACGGTGAGCTCTCTCCAAAGCCACTCACAGGAATCCAACGACAGATGGGACATTAAATACTGCACCTTCTTTGTAAAGCTTTGTGAGAAGAGTACTTACCGTCTGCTTCCACAATCTCAAAGTATCGGTAGTTGAAATGGATGGTGGGGATGTGTGGGTTCTTGGGATGGATCACGGAACTCACTCCCATTGCGCAGAACGGCAGCTTGCCTGTAGTTCCCCCAAAACACAGCACATCACGACTGAGTGGCAGAACTCTTCTCATCGCTTTCGTTAAACGTTTACCCCCTTAAACATTTCAGGTCTTGCAACGATTACTAGGATTTCCCCTCCCATTGACGTAATAATCCTTGAAAATAATGAAGCGCCTGATCACGGCCTGGAGACACCTCAAAGCGCTTCACAGAATATACCTTGAAGTGAATCGACTGTACATTTTGTGGGCAAAATAATTGCGCACCGCAGCGTCCCACGAACAGTTGTGGAATTGAGTGACCAAATTATTATTATTTATTTTGAAGGGTTTATTATCCCTGGAAAACGAGCCGCCAAATCGACTAACATCTGGGTTCCTACTTACTGCTGGGTAAACAGAGGCGTGTGGATTATGGAAACTTGCCGACCATTTTGCTGTACCCGGGAATTGAACCCGGGTCCCCTCGCTTGTGAGGCGAATGCTCTGAATTTTTTTTTAAATTGTAATGTATATGAAAGGTTAGCGAGTCCGTATTTGAGCTGAGCAGGAAACAATCAAGAGAAATCTTCGACAGTTTCCGACACAGGCACGTATTGTGTTTTCTGCTCTGTACACTTTGCTGATGCAATCTAACCGGTTATATGAAGCTTCTCCCGTATGAAGTCTATCAGGGAGGTCCTACTGAATCTATTGGACATAATATCTTTCAGTCTCATGATGATTTGAGAGCGAGAATGATAAGAACCCAACAGGGTACTGTACGCTGACTCACTCACATAGCACATACAGCTCTGACCAACGCACCCATGTTCCCTCTTGTACATGTCTGGGTGTCAGTGTACAAAAGCCTAGGAGCAGATGATCACATTCGAAGCACCAGCCGACTGTCATCCCTAACTCTGTGTGTATGTCTGTGTGTGTGGTGGGGGAATAGGACTTCAATAATAATAATCCCTCCAAAACAAAACAACAATAAATTGGTCATTTTCAATCCACGACTGTTTGCGGGGACGCTGCTGTGCGCAATTGGCTGCCGCGTTCGCCCACAAATAAACAGTCAATTCACTTTACAGCCTATTCTGTGAAGCGCTTTGAGACGTTGAGAAGACGTGAAAAGCGCTATATCAAATGCAAGGATTATTATTATTATAATTCAACATTCAGGAAATCTCTGGCTCTGCAGCTCAAAGAAAAGATGAACCCGCCAACAAGAATCCCTCCCTCTCCCCCGCCACACACCCCCCCAAAAAAACCCTATTGGAATTAGGTCAGCAGGATGCGTCCCTCCAGGGAGAGAGAGCGCATTCCATCCCGACAATTCATCTCTGGGATTTCCATGTGTAGGTGGGACGCGTGGAATTCTCAGTCTGGTTTGGAGACTCTTTAAGCGCGGTGACGGGTTTCCGCACGCGTCGCACAGCTGACCGCCCCCTCCCCACAAAATGAAAACTCATCCCAGCGACTCTTACCATCTTTCGATTTCAGTGACTTTCCCCGACTTCTCATCTGCTGAGCAGATTCTTGCGAAAGGTTACCAAACACAACCGAGACGTTGACTCCGGCTTTCTCGAACACTTTTCCATCCTGGAGCACGCAGCTTATGCCACCGCCGCCTGAAAAAACAAAACAATTAAGCGTTTTGTCGCAGTCCTGAAGAAAGTAGTGTATCGGTTAGAGCCCTCGCCTCGCAAGCCAGAGGACCCGGGTTCGATTCCCGGACAGGGCGAAACCTTAGGCAGGTTTCCTCACCCCGCTCGCCTCTGTTTACCGAGCAGTGTGCAGGAACCCGGTTGTTAGTCGATTGGCGGATCGCTTTTTCGGGAGTAGTAACCCCTTAAAAAGGGAATAATCATTTGGTCACTCAATCCACGACTGTGGATTTGTGGGGACGCCGCCGCGTTTCGCCCACTAAATATTCAGTCAATTCACTTGACAGCACATTCTTTTGAGACGCCTCGAAGACGTGATGCGGCGCTGTATCAAATGCAAGGATTATTATTATTACTACTACTACTACTACTCAGGACTTTATGTTTTAAAAAAAAAGGTGTACTTTCTGCAATGATGAAGGGCAACCGCACCTCACCCAAAAAACGAAACACCTTTGTGAACTTTAATGAACTCCCCCTTTTCAGACCGAAGCCAACGGAACAAGTTCCTCGGGACGTCACGAAGCGAAGCCCTCGCTCCGAGACGTCTCAGCGAGGCGATAAGGCACTGCGGTACGCGCAAGTGTTACCGTTACAGGTTACCGCCACTCGCGTTACCGGATCTGGCTCGACCGGCGCGCGGCTCTACAGACGCCCACGTAAAAACAGAGCAGCCCTGTAGCTCAGCGGCGCGAGCGCGAGCGACCCCGGGCTCGTTTCCCCGGCCGGGGCGTAAACCTCGGGCCGGTTCCCCTCGCCTCCGCGCGCCCGACAATAACCCCTCCAAAACCGAAAGGGTAACAACTGTGTCGGCGCGCGTCCGCGGCCGTCGGGCGGCGGCGGGGACGGGCGCGGGTCTACCGCCGCGCGCCAACGGCTCCCGCCTGGCGCTCGGCGCCACGCGCGGGCACGGCCGACCCCGATTAATCGCCGTCACGCGCCGCCCAATTAACAATGAATCGATGGGTCAACTCTGGATGGGTCAGTCGGCCGGTGTGACCCGCCGGGCGCTCCGAGGCGCGGCGTGGACGGCGCCGCGTCGAACGCGCGGGGGGGGGGGGGGGATTACCATCGTCGCTGATCATTTTTATTATTATTAATGATCATTATTATTATTATTATTAATAGAGAAAAACAGGGAGTGGGAGGGGGTGGGGGGGGGGGAGAGGGGAATAGGAATGGGGAAGTCTGCACGTAGGCAATGGACTGCATTGGAGGGGGAGAGAGAGAGAGAGGGGGAGAGGGGGAGAGGGGAGGAGAGGAGGGGGTAAAAAAATATATATTTTTTTTTGGGGGGGGTGAGTGTTCATGAGCGACCGTTTTTTTTTCTCTCTCTCCTCGTAAGGACCTTCTTTCCGATCCCACCGGTCCACTCGGAAGGCCCTCCCGCCCTCCAGTCGGCTCAGGGCCCGGCACACGTCGCCCTGCACCTCCATGATCAGCAGCTCCATGGCGGCCCGCGGGTCCCCGGGGCTCCGGGTCAACCGCTTCAGGTCGGTCACCGGGCGGGACATGAAGCCCCGGAGCAGCTCCTCCTCCCCCGGGACCGACCCCTCCTCCTCCTCCTCCTTCTTCTTCTCCTCCTCCTCCTCCACCACCACCGACGACGACGAGGACGACGACGACATCTCTGCCCGTTGCAGACCGAACCCCAACCCCAACCCGCCGCCGCCCAACAGGGCCGCCATCAGCCACCGCTTCCCCGAGCGCGGCTTCCCGACGGCGGCGGCGGCGGTGGCGGAGGAGGAGGAGGAGGAGAGCGCTCGGGAAGCCCGACACCAGCCCGACACCCGGGCGGCGGCGGCGGCGGAGGAGGCGGAGGAGGAGGCGGGAGTCCAGGCCCAGGCCCAGGTCACCGAGGACAGGCCGCAGCGGCCCAGGCGGGTCCTGGCGCGGGGCGAGAGGAGCAGCGGCAGCAGCAGCGGCGGCGCCGCCGGTAGCGGCGGGAGGGGGGGCATCGCGGCCTCTCGGGCTGTCCCGAGAGCGGCTGCTGCGCGCGGGTGGGGGAGAGAGAGTGGGACCAGAGGCGACGGAGAGAGAGAGAGAGACAGACACACACAGACAGACAGACAGACACACACAGACAGACACACACCCACAGACACACACACACAGACACACACACAGACAGACACACACCCACAGACACACAGACAGACACACACAGACAGACACACACACCCACAGACACACACAGACAGACACACACAGACAGACACACACACCCACAGACACACACAGACAGACACACCCACAGACACACACACACACAGATAGACACACACACAGACACACACACACAGATACACACACACAGACAGACACACACAGACAGACACACACACCCACAGACACACACAGACAGACACACACCCACAGACACACACACACAGACACACACACACAGATAGACACACACACAGACACACACACACACAGATACACACACACAGACAGACACACACACACACCCACAGACAGACACACACCCACAGACACACACCCACAGACACACACCCACAGACACACAGACAGACACCCACACACACACAGACACACACAGACAGACACCCACAGACACACACCCACAGACACAGACACCCACAGACACACACACAGACAGAGAGGGGTCAGACAGAGAGAGGTGGTGGGGGGGAGAGGCGGTGCAGCTGACGCTCAGCAGCTGTTCCCGAGCGCTGTGTACCGTCCCTGAGCGTCGGCTTGAAATGGCAGCGCCGCTGCCTTGTGGGCGGGGCTGAGGAGGGGGCGGGGCGCGGACCCGCTTGGCCCCCTGGGAGGTGTAGTCCCTTCTCTCTGTGGGTCAACGGCGGCGGGGGGGGACGTCGCGGTGCATTCTGGGAAGTGTAGTCTTAATCCCTCCCCTAACCTATATATACACACACACATATAATATACATATACACACACATAATATACATATGAAATAATGATACTACTACTTGCGTTTGATACAGCGCCTTATCGCGTCTTCTGGCTGTCTCAATGCGCTTCACAGGAGACGCTGCGCGTGGAGTAAGGAAGAGGGAGAAATCATGAGTTCTTAATAATAATAATAATAATAATAATCCTTGCCTTGGATACGGCGCCTTATCAGGTCTTCGAGACGTCGCAAAGCGCTTTCACGGAATAGACCGTAAAGTGAATTGGCGGTATATTTTGCGGGCGAAACGCGGCAGCCAACCCAATCGCGCACAGCGGCCACCCCACAAGCAGCCGTGGATTGAAGTGGCCAAATTATTATTCTTGTTTTCTTTTTCTTGAGGTTGTTATTATCAGGCGTGTGGTGTAAGGAAACTTGCCCGAGGTTTCGTCCTGCCGGGAACCAAACCCAGGTCTCTCACTTGTGATATATACTATACATATGAAATAATAATAATAATCCTTGCTCTTTTCACGTCTTCCAGATCGTCTCAAAGCGCTTCGCGGAGCTATACCGTAAAGCGTAGTGAGTGTATGTTTTGTGGGTGAAATGCTGCAGCCAGCAGCGTCCTACAAACAATCGTGGATTGAGTGACCAGATTATTATTATTGTTTTCTTTCTTTTTTTCTTGAGGGAATCGAACCCAGGTCTCTCGATGGCAAGGTGAGCGCTCTAACCACTGAGCTACAGGACTCCACAATATATATACATGTAGGCCAAGGTGGCGTCCTGTAGCTCAGTGGTTAGAACACTTGCCTCGTAAGTGAGAGAACTTGGTTCAATACCCGGCAGGGCAAAACCTTGGGCAAATTTCCTTACTCCACATACTCCTCTGTTTACCTAGCTGTAAGTAGGAACCTGGTTGTTAGTTAATTGGCAGATCGCTTTTCCTGGGGTAATAATGCCTTAAAAAAAAGATAAAAAGAATAATAAATTGGTCACTGTGCTGTGCGCAATTGGAGCCCGTTTCGCCCACAAAATATACAGTCAATTCACTTTACAGTATACACTGAAGCGCTTTGAGACATCTCGAAGATGTGATAAGGGGCTATATCAAATGCAATGATTATTATAAGTATAGTATATACTCTATATACTCAATAGGTATACAAAATATATATTTTGCTCACCTCTCTCTCTGTGTCTCTCTTTCTGTGTATGACCCAAGTCACAGTGTCCTGCCACTCACTGGGAAACCACCTGTCACTCATACTGGTTCCAAAACATAATTCAGAACTGTCAAGGCTCACGTCTGTATGTAATGAGCATGATCCTTGCATTTGATATAGCAGCTTATTTAGTCCTGTAGCTCGGTGGTTAGAGCACTCGCCTCGCAAGCGAGAGGACCTGGGTTCAATTCCTGGGCAGAGCAAAATGTTGGGCAAGTTTCCTTACTCGCGTCGCTGTTTACCAAGCAGTAAGTAGGAACTTGGTTGTTAGTCGATTAGTGGATAATAATTCCTTCGCAAAAAATAATAATAAATTGGTCACTTCAATCCACGACTGTTTGTGGGACGCTGCTGTGTTCAATTGGCTGCCGCGTTTCGCCCACAAAATATACAGTCAATTCACTTTACACAATATTTTGTGAAGTGCACTGAGACGTCTCAAAGAGGTGATAAGGCACAATATCAAATGCAAGAATTATTATTATTAAGTCTCCTTACTCCACATGCATCTGTTTAACCAGCTGCAAGTAGGATTTTGTGGATCACTTTCCAGGGGCAATAATGCCTTAAAATAATAACAATAATAATAATTTGGTCACTCAATCCACAACTGTTTCAGTTGTGACGAAAGGTCATCGATCTGAAACGTTAACTCACTTTTCTCTCTTCGTAGATGCTGCCTGTTGAATGTTCACAGCAACTTCTGTCTTCATTTCAGATATCCAGCATCTGCAGTATTTTACCTTTTGTTTGTGGGACGCTGCTGTGCGCAATTGGCTGTCATGTTTCACGCACAAGTTATGCAGTCATTTCACTTTACAGGATATTCTGTGAAGAACTTTGAGACGGACGTCCTCCTGATGTGAAAGACGCTATACCAATGTAATGTGTTGTTGTCTCGAAGACGTGATAAGGTGCTATATCAAATGCAACGATTATTGGCGGTGGTGTTATATTCCAGCCAGGTACCAAGCGAGCCTTGTGAAGCCATACACCATCCCAGTTATAATAACAATCTTGGAATTTGATGTAACGATTTATCACATAGAAACGTCTCAAAAAAGCTTCCCAGAGTTTTCTGCATGAATTGCAGTGACTGTATTTGTCGGCAAAGCTTGCCATTGATAGCACTGTCTGGCAAGCTTTCCCGCTGCTTGTCCAGCTAGGACCAACCTACCCGTTAGCGCTTTGGCTTGTAGGGTTAACAAGAGTTGAGTGGGAGGATTACCCGCGCCCCCAGTGACAGCTCAGCATGAAATGCGTGAGAGCATTGCCACCATCTGCCTTGTCCACAGCTCAGACAAAAGTCCCTTCCCATTGAGCGATGGTTCCACCAGTTGAAGGTGCGGAGTTTAGGCAGCAGCTGCTTATCCTTTCTGCAAAGCAAATCAAGGTGGATTTCAGGCTCTGGACGTACGAATGTATGTCCACAAACTCGGACACCAGGTAACGCCTTCCAGCAGCTGTCGCCCCAAGCCTCAGAATTTCCTCATCAGCTCTCTGCCGGAGAAGGAAGGGAAAGAAGAAAATTAGCAAGAGGGAGGGAGGGGGGAAAAAAACATTCTCTTAATATACTCTTGAAAGCCAATGCCCTGAATGGATGGTTCTAGCTGGTACTGGTAAGTAGCAAGGATGCAGCTGGTTAACTTGGTCACACAAACATATCCACATGTGGTCACTTACAAAATTCTTTCGGTATTTGGCTCGGCAACGTGCTGCGCCAAATACTCTCTGGAATTAGGTAAGCAGGTTGCGTCCCGCCAGGGAGAGAGCGCGCATTCCATTCCACACGCATGAACATTTCTGTGCGTAGGTGGCATGCATGTGCGGAACTCTCTGTCTAGTTTGGATACTCTAAGTGCGGTGATGAGTTTCTGTTTGGGTAAGACAACCTGGCTGACCCCCCAAAAATTCAATGAATCCTATAAAGAGCTTTAAGATGTTTCAACAACGTGATATATCATTATATTATTTTATTATATATAAAATATATATATTATATACAACGTATAATATGTAGAATATAATAACCCTTCTTTGAGATGTCTCAAAGAGCTTCACATGATAGTCTATAAAGTGAATTGACTGTATATTTTACGGGCAAATGCGACAGCCGATTGCGCACGGCAGTGTCCCACAAACAGTCGTGGACTGTAAATAATTTTTATTTACAAAATTTTTTTTAAGGGAATTATTACCTCTAGAAAAACGATCCTCCACTCAACTACCAACCGGGTTCCTACTTACTGCTAAATAAACAGAGGCGGGTGGAGTAAGAAAATTTGCCTAAGGTTTTGCCCCACCCAGGAATCGTACCCGGGTTCCCCCACTTGCGAGACGAGTGCTCTAACCACTACCCTACTGGAAGGGGAAGAGGTGAACAAAAGCACAATTAGAAAGAAAGGCCATGTTTCGGGCTTTAAAGGTGAGGATGGATATATAGGGGGAGGTGAGGAGGAGGCACTCAGGATGCAGTTCCACAGAGTAGGGGCCAGAAAAGCATCAACCTCTTGGCCGTCCATCAACTTGTCAGCGCCTTGGGACGTCCTCCCGAAGTGTAATTTTGCTGTGTAGTAACTGTGACTTGCTTGGTCCCTCCGCCAAGTGCGGAGTGAGGGGCCGGGTCTGCAGCGTCCTGTTACAGGATAACAATGTTTCTTCTTTCTGCCGCGGGAATTGCTTCCTTTGAGGTAAATGTAAATATATACATATAGATATTCTATCTACAAATATATATATATTTTGTTCATGAAAAATATCTGTAAGCGCACAGCTCTGCCTGAAGGGGGAGAAGCCGCAATGCAATCTGTGGGCGTTGGGACTGAATTTGTGGTTCAGAAACCACAGGAGAGGGAGCTCACTGCATGGCAATCAAACATCTCGCCTCACTTAACGCGTGCGTTTGGAGAAATAAAATATTTGAGTATCACGGAACCACATATTACCCAGCTTTATGTACCTGGACATCTGAAAAAGAATGCACTACAGCATTGCTATTTTTTAATACAGTATATACGTCTGTAAGACATTCGACGGAACCTGCAATCAGGCCACAATTTTGAGATTTCTTTCCTTAATGCATTAGACAGGTAAATTAAGGGAGGTTTTTTCTTAAAAAAACACTTTCCATGAGTGATGGCTGCAAAAATAACAACTTGCATTTATATTGCACCCCTCGTGGCAGGGTCCCACGGCGCTTGAGTTGTGGGAGTTGGGATTGAATAATAATAATAATCATCATTGCATTTAATATTGTGCCTTATCACGTGGTTGAAACATCTCAAAGCACTTCATATATACACAACATATAATATATATACATATATAAAGTGAATCAGCTGTGTATTTTGTGGGCAAAAAGTGGCAGCCAATTGCGCACAGAGGCGTCCCACAAACAGTAATGGATTGAGTGACCAAATTATTAATTTTTTTTGGGGGGTGGGGGGTGGGTGGAGGGGGGAATTATTACCCCCGGAAAAGCGACCCGCCAAGGTGAGAACAGTGAGAACCAAAGCAAAGCGTTAAGGGGAGAGATCTGCAAAACCTTGAAGGGCAAATTTTTTTTTTTGGGGAGTGGGGGGGGTGTGTTGCGGTTTACCCCAACCTTTCCCCCCCTCCCCCACACTCTCTCTCTGTCTGTCTGTCTCTCTCCACTTCCATGCGAAACAGGAGCACCAAGGGGTTTGCAAGTCTTATAAGGCAATTCACTCACTGGCTGAACACAAACCACATCTACCTGGACCAGATTGCATGGGTTCAAGGGAGGGGGGGAAACCAAAGTGGGAGAACGTTCCTCTGGTCTCTTTAAAGCGGGAGTCCTGTAGCTCAGTGGTTAGAGCACTCGCTTTGCAAGAGAGAGACCTGAGTTCAATTCCAGGCAGAGGGCGAAACCTTGGGCAAGTTTCCTTACTCCACACAGAGCCTAATAATAATCCCTCCAAAAAAACAAAAATAATAATAAATTGGTCATTTTCAATCCACGACTGTTTGTGGGACATTGCTGTGCGCAATTGGCTGCCGCGTTCGCCCACAGATAATAATAATCCTTGCATTTGATATAGCGCTTTTCACGTCGGGAGGACGTCCCAAAGCGCTTCACAGAACACACTGTAAAGTGAATTGACTGTATATATTTGTGGGCAAACGCGGCGGCCAATTGCGCACAGCAATGTCCCACAAACAGTCGTAGATTGAAAATGACCAATTTATTATTGTTTTTGGTTTTGGAGGGATTATTATTAGGCTCTGTGTGGAGTAAGGAAACTTGCCCAAGGTTTCGCCCTCTGCCTGGAATTGAAATTTGCAAAGCGAGTGCTCTAACCACTGAGCTACAGGACTCCACATATATACAGAAATATACAGTCAATTCACTTCACAGTGTGTTCTGTGCAGCGCTTTGGGACGTCCTCCCGACGTGAAAAGCGCTATATCAAATGCAAAGATTATCATTATTATTATTAAAGCAGAAATGTTTGGGATCAGCACAATATGTGTATATATATAAATATATATATATAAAAACACAGGAAAAACAGTGGCAAGAGTTTTAAACTGAGCCAATAAAATGGGAAGGAGTCAAGGTTAGAAGTTACATCCCTTGTGATCCAGTAAAGGGACAATATATATATATATAAAAAAAGAACTGGACAGAAAAGGGTGTGTGAGACACGCACTTGTACTCTGGAGTCTCTCTCTCTCTCTCCCTCCCTCCTTCCCCCTCTCCCTCTCTCTCTCTTTCTCAACCAAAGAGATCTGGTCATTTCAGAGCTGGGAAAACAGATCGAGCAATGATGAAAAGAAGGTAACAAAATAAATTAGGAGGAAAGGCTTTTGCTTCTTTCTAACGTTTGCACAAGGAAACCTGGAAGAGGAAGAACTGGGAGCACTTTCAAAAAGCAGCAGCAACAACACCAACAAAAAAAACCAATGAGAAATACCAGGATTTATTCTTGGGGAAGGATTTTATATGAAAAAAATACGACTTTGAGCTCGATTTTGAGCCTGTGTCTTGTTTAAAAAAGACAGAAAGAAGAATCTTTAATGACAGGACGACTTTTTTTTTAACTGTTTGACTTTTTTTTCAAATCTTAACTTTTTTAAAACTTTTAAAAAAAGTTAAGATTTTGGGTTTTTTTTTAAATTCAACTCTTTTGTGACAGATCAGAGCCAAAAGAAAGTAACACTTTTTGAGCCTGTGAGTGTTTGTGCGTTTGTGTGAGTGGTAGTGTGTGTGAGTGTTTGTGTATTAGTGTGTGAGTGTTTGTGTGTGTTTGTGTGAGTATTAGTGTGTGTGAGTGTTTGTGTGTGTTTGTGTGAGTATTAGTGTGTGTGAGTGTTTGTGTGTGTGTGTTTGTGTGAGTATTAGTGTGTGTGAGTATTAGTATGTGTGAGTGTTTGTGTGAGTGTTAGTGTGTGTGAGTGTTTGTGTGTTAGTGTGTGTGTGTTTATGTGAGCATTAGTGTGAGTGTTTGTGTATTAGTGTGTGTGTGCTTGTGTGAGTATTAGTGTGTGTGAGTGTTTGTGTGAGTGAGGATGAGTGTGTGAGTGTTTGTGTGTGTGTCAGTGTGTTTGCTGGTCATTCAGAAGCCAGACAGCTAAGTGGGTGTAGAGTTTGTGTTTTAAGAATATGTTTCAGTTAGTTGTCTTCAGAAACTGATCAGAGAGGGTGTAAGTAGAGCTGCATATACCAGAAACTGATCAGAGAGGGTTTAAGTAGAGCTGCATATACCAGAAACTGATCAGAGAGGGTTTAAGTAGAGCTGCATATACCAGAAACTGATCAGAGAGTGTTTAAGTAGAGCTGCATATACCAGAAACTGATCAGAGAGGGTTTAAGTAGAGCTGAGTATACCAGAAACTGATCAGAGAGGGTTTAAGTAGAGCTGCATATACCAGAAACTGATCAGAGAGCGTTTAAGTAGAGCTGCATATACCAGAAACTGATCAGAGAGGGTTTAAGTAGAGCTGCATATACCAGAAACTGATCAGAGAGGGTTTAAGTAGAGCTGCATATACCAGAAACTGATCAGAGAGGGTTTAAGTAGAGCTGCATATACCAGAAACTGATCAGAGAGGGTTTAAGTAGAGCTGCATATACCAGAAACTGATCAGAGAGGGTTTAAGTGGAGCTGCATATACCAGAAACTGATCAGAGAGGGTTTAAGTAGAGCTGAGTATACCAGAAACTGATCAGAGAGGGTTTAAGTGGAGCTGCATATACCAGAAACTGATCAGAGAGGGTTTAAGTGGAGCTGCATGTGCCAGAGAGACTGAGTAAGTGAGTGTGTGTGCACCCACCTACCTGTGTTCATCAGAAATAGCATATGCTTTGGCTCTGATCCCTTGGATTCGGTCTCTTCTGAGACTTCCACCCACCCCCCTCCTGTCTTCTCCTCCTCTCTTCCCTGCTCCCTTCCCCTCCTAACCCACCCTTCACCCCCCCAATTTACCAAGCAGCTCTACACCCTTACCCTACCCTACCCACCCAACCCTGAATTGGATGGCAACAAGGCAAGAAGGGTTTAAACAACATGTGAGTCTCCCTCGACTGTGTGGGCACATCATGTTCCTGCTCCATGGATGTCAAAGGAGACAGATCCCAGTGCTGGTCAGCCTGATGTGCATCCTGCTCACCTGGACAGAAGACATCAGCGCTTTGGGTGTGTTCTCAGGTAAGAAGGTATCTCAGGTGCACCTCCTTGAACTTAGGTGAGGAGGGAGGAATTGAGGTACTGGCAGACACTCTACACTTTGGGTTTGAGGAAGCTGGAGGCTGTGTTGTAATCATGATAGTAATAATTATAATAATAATAATCCTTGCATTCGATATAGCGCCTGATCACTTCTTCGAGACGCCTCAGAGCGCTTCACAGCTTCGAGCCCGGTCGATTCACCTGTCAATCGTAAAGCGAATTGACTGCATATTTTGTGGGCGAAACGTGGCACAGCCAATGGCGCACGGCAGTGTCCCAAAGGCAGTCGTGGATTGAGCGAACAAATTATTGTTGTTATTCTTGGAGGGATTATTACCCCCGGAAAAGCGATCCGTCATCGACTAACAATCGGGATCCGACTTAGTGTTAGGTAAACCAAGGCGTGTGGAGGAAGGAAACTTGCCTGACATTTTGCCCGGTCTAAGAATCGAATCCAGGTCCTGTGACTTGCGAGGCGAGTGCTCTAACTAATGTGCTATAGGATTCCACATATTAACAAGTGTTGTTTTTTTTTTTGGAGTGGGTGCGGGGGGATGCTGGGAGTGCGGACTCATTTATTTTGGGATTTCTATCTTTCTAACCTTCTCTCCCTCTTTCCCCCCAACCCCCCCCTTCGCTTTCTTTCCCACGTGATGTTTCACTTGCCACTCACTTTTTGCTGGCAGCTGCTACCAATAATAATAATAATCATCCTTGCATTTGATATAGCGCCTCATCATGTCGTTGCGACGTCTCAAAGCGCTTCACAGAATATACTCTATATTGACTGTATATTGTGGGGTGAAACATTACCAATGCATTTCTCTGCTGAGACACTAGGAGGGGAGTCAGAAGCCAACATAAAATGTGTGTTACACTTATTATAATAATTTGGACACTTAATCCACGACTGGTCGGGCGACTCTGCTGTGCGCAATTGGCTGCCGCGTTTCACCCACAAAATAGACAGTCAGTTCATTTTACAGAATATTCTGTGAAGCGCTTTCAGGCATCTAGAAGACGTGATAAGCTACTATAATAAATGCAAGGACTGTTATTATTATTACACTTCCCTAGGCTGGAGGATGGCAGACACATCAATTAACATCAGCAACAACTTGCACTTATATAGCACCTTCCACACAGGGTAGCGTCTAGAGCGCTTAACAACAACTACCATTTGGAGTCCTGTAGGGTATTGGTTAGAGCATCCTCCCCGCAAGCCAGAGGACCTGGGTTCGATTCCCAGACGGGACGAAACCTTAGGCAAGTCTCCTGATTCCACACGGCTCGGTTTCCCCAGTGGTAAGTAGGAAAGTGTTTGTTAGCTGATCAGCTTCAGGTTCACACTCCTTGAGTAATAATCTCTTCAAAAAAAAAGGTAATTTTGTCACTCGGTCTTTGTGGGACCACTGTCTGTGGGACACAGCTGTGCGCAATTGGCTGCCACGTTTCACCCACAAAAACCCACTTTACAATACGTACTGTGAAGCGCTTTGAGACGTCTTGATGATTTGATAAGGCGCTGTATCAAATGCAAGGATTGTTATTATTATATGAAATAATGATAGGTGTCGGGGCGGTAGGGGGTGGGGAGAAGAAGGAGGAAAGACAGAGAGAATGGGTTACGTTTTAGTTCTTTTTTTAAAAAAAAATTCAAAAGAGAAAGTTTGATGATGTAAGTGTTAGTTGGTTAATTTCTGAAACTATATATGGGTGGGTAGGGCCCTTAACAATGAGCTTCACACACATACCCTATTGTAGTCGTGTCATCGCATACACCCACGATTATAAATAGTTCTATCTTTGACAGACTCGGGTATTTTTTTCACACTGGACTGAAGGGCCAATGGGCTTCAGGAGCGTAAACTGAGAGTCCAATGAAGCAAACCTCATGAGACCCAAGTCGGAGGAGTTCCTGCAGAGAGTTCAAACTGCTGACTGCGTAGCAGATCCACACAGAAAGGTCACATTAACATAGCGATACAGTACTTCATTGTACCCAGACCTTGCTGGTCGTTTGATTTGTGTGGAGAATAATAGATACCTGGGAGTGATTACTAGGCAGTAATTGAGGGGTACAGATGGTACTTTGTGAGTGACGCTTGAGAGGTTTATAGCCCATATGAACCCTCGGGTCATGTTATAGCCTTCTAAAAGACTCCCTTATAGATTTACAGAATATCACAGCACAGAAGGAGACCATTCGGCCCATCGTGCCTGCGCCGGCTCTACCCAATCAGTCCCACTCCCCCGCTCTTTCCCCATATCCTTGTAAATTTTTCCTCTTCAAGTACCTATCCAATTCACCTTTCGAAAGTTGTTATCGAATCTATTTCCACCACCCTTTCAGGCAGCACATTCCAGACTATATAAACTCTCTGTGCAAAAAGAAAAAATCCTCCTCATCTCCATTCTGGTTCTTTTGCCAATTATCTTGAATCTACGTCCCCTGGTTACCGACCCATCTTATCTGGTCTTTTTCTTAATTTGTTTTTGGGTGGTTTTATTCAGCGTTTGTACCGTGTAGAGGCTGAGGGAGTTTTAATACCACGCTCGCCAGTCTGATGAGAAAATAAGTGGAGTTTTAATACCACGCTCGCCAGTCTGATGAGAAAATAAGTGGAGCAGTTCAGCAACAACAACAGCAACAACTTACATATATACAGTGCCTTTAAGAGCTTAAGAATTTGCTCGGTGAAAGAAGACCAAGATCAATCCAGGTCGCCTTCCACCATCCTGGCAGTCGCTTGACATGTCGTGCCCCAAACTGTATACTATATCCCGAGATATTATTATTTTTCTTAAACAGAAATCTGTCAAATTTGTTCTCGAAAGAAGCAACAACTTTCTGCTTCCACCGTCTGTCTCCCTAGGGAATCTGTTCCACACGTTTACTACTCGCTCACGGAAGGCGTGTTTCCGCAGATTTGTTCTGAATTTACCCCCTTCTTTCGATCTGAGGCAGTGTCCTCTGGTGCTACTGTTCAGTACAACAACAGTAACAAAATTATAGCTGTATAGCGCCTTTCATGTCGGGAGGATGTCCCAGGATAAAACAGTTTATCATGGCCAACGTTATCGAGACCCTTTAGAATCTTAAAGACCGTAATCGTAGCCTTCTCTTCTCCGGCGTGAACTTGCTGAGCTTAACTAATCGTTCCTTGTAGTCCGGTCCCACCATCCCCTCAATCATTTTGGTTGCCCTCCTCTGCATCCTCTCAATACCTGCAATATCTTTTTTGTATTTTATGTTATTCCCACGTATTCTTCACCTAGGATCACGCCTCAGAGCGCTTCACAGTTATGGGTTGGGCCGGCAAGTCTGGAGGAAGAAAAGGGGGAGCGGAGGGAAGTAACCATAGGTGTGTTCTGTGAAGCGCTTTGGGACGTCCTCCCGACGTGAAAAGCGCTATATCAAATGCAAGGATTATTATTATTATTATTATTATGGTGGACCAGGGGCAGGTTTTAAGGTGGGATTTGAAGCGGCGGAGGGGTAGAGGCAGAGAGTTTCAGAGTTTGGGGCCAAAACACTGAAGACTCAGCTGCCGAGGGTCAGGGTGGGGGTCAGGGGGCTGATTGAGCTGTGTTAGCTGAGCGTGGTGGCTGGGCAGAGGAGTGGGGTCGGAAATTTTGCAAGAGCTCATTGTCGTTCAATAATTGGTCGTGATTCAATGACTGAGACTGATTTGAATAGGCAACAAAATAATCTGCCCACTGGGTCCATCAACCCAGCTGGTATAATAAAAATAATAATAACAACAATAATATTCCTTTCATTTAATACAGCGCCTTATCATGTTTTGAGACGTTTCAAAGCGCTTCACAGAATACGCTGTAAAGTGAATTGACAGTATATTTTGTGGGCGAAACGTGCGTCGCCAATTGCGCACACAGCGTCCCACAAACAGTCGTGCCTGGAGTGACCAAATTATTATTGTGATGCATTATTTTTTTTTGAAGGGTTTCATATTCTGTGAAGCGCTTTGAGCCGTCTCAACGATGTGATAAGATGTTAAAATAATAATCCTTGCATTTGATACAGCACCTTATCGTGTCGTTGAGACGTCTCAAAGCGCTTCACAGAGTACGCTCTAAAGTGAATTGACTGTAAATTTTGTGGGCGAAACGTGTGCCGCCAATTGCGCACAGCAGCGTCCCACAAACAGTCCGTGGATTGAGTGACTGTTTTTTCTAAAAAGGTATTATTAAGCCCTGTCAATGATCCTCCAATTGACTAACAACCGGGTTCTTACTTATTGCTAAGTAAACCAAAGCGTGTAGACGAAAGATTATTATGAAGTCCAAAGCCAATGCTGCAGGAAGGGAGGGAGGGAGCGAGGGAGGGCTCCAGCCTACACTGACCTGTCGGCTCAGCACCCTGAAGGCGGAATCATCTTCGTGGCAGGCACGTCTATTTGCTGAAGCACCTCACGTGAGAACCTGGATTAAGCAGTCGGAGTTGAGCGAGCCAAGGCCAGTTTCATCAGTTGTTGCATTAGTGTTTTCCACACATACTCCGGTGACTTATGCTCGCGCTAAAATGCATTTATGTGCACTGTTAACTGGGGTCAGTGAAGCTCTACTGCATTCAAATTATTTATAGGGCCTTGTCATTGTTCTAATTCCGACAGTAATTTACTGCTGATTTCGTAATATGTGACCAAAGAACAAAATGTCCTGTACCTTACATGGGATTTTAGCCTTTCTTTTTGCTGATAGTACTTCTGGACCAGCAGCTCACGTAGAATCGTGCCCCCCCCCCCCCCCCACCACCGCCACCCCCCCCCCCCCCGTCTGTCGATAGATGTCGGCTTATAAATACCTCTGCAATTGTTACGGCATTTGTGGGCATCAAAGACTGGCTGTTCCGAAGTTCCCGAGTGTCCTTGCAATTACACCAAGTCTATGCTACATCTCTTACGGTGCATTATTGAATAAATTCGGGACACAGCAACAACTCCCCACCACCCCAA